GATGTGTGATGTGCAAGAAAACTATGAGAGGTATTGTTTGTAATTTTGATCCTGCACATCTAGGCAATGTTGGTCGGAAAGTAATTGGATTAATTTTATGAAAGATAAAAATAATTAAAAGTAAATTAAAAAATTAATATTTTCGTTTCACGGATAGATGACAATTTTTACTAAATAAAAAAATAATTAAAATATCAGTTTTATTTTTTTAAATACAATTAATATAGTATATTCTCAAAATATTATTTACACAAATTTTTTATAGTATCAATTTGTAATATACTAAATATCTGTTTAGAATAAAAAAAATAAAATATGTATAGTGTTGTTAAACGGCCAGTATTTTATCCAGAAAAATATTAAGCAAGCCTGAAAATTTTCTTTATAGAAGGAGCAAAGGTCTAGACATATAGTATCGAAATTTCGAAGCTTAGTCAATATTTTTGGCGAAAATATTGAGTTAACCGTTTTAAAAAATCGGCTGAAAACGAGCCGTTTAACAACATTATCTATTATGCTTGCTTATTAAATGATAATATTCGCAGAAAAATATGATAAAATACAGAATAGGTGAATTTTTTGTATATACCAGGTGGAATATAATTTTAAAAAATTCCGAGCCGGGCCTAAAAAAATTTTTTTTTAAATATCCGGGCCGGGTCGGGCCTAAAATATTTAAACTCGGGGCGGGCCGTAAAAAATTTTTGGAAAAAAAATCCGGGCCGGGCCGTGTAAATGTTACCTCTGCAGGTCTCTGATAAATATTCAAAACTTTCTTAAATTAAACTTTGTTATAAAATTCAATTTATATATAAATGATAATTTATTAATAAAAATTAAAATTCTGTCATTTAAAAATCATTTGAATTTAATATCAAAATTTTATTTCTTAAATTAAATTTATATTAATTTATTATTTCAAAAGATTTTTTGACGATAAATGCATACTAATAAAAACTACATTAGGATAAAATTTAAACTTTCTGGTCTATTTAATTTTAAAATAAGATTATTTTGTTTGCCAAACCCCGGTTACCCAACCCCAGTCTCCCCTATCATATTTAAAAAATAATTATTAAATTATAAATGTGAAGAAAAATTTTTTAAAATTCCTTTAAAAAACTTGTTTGAGAAAGTGTAGATTACTAAAAAAAGCGGTAAAAATTAAACAGAGAAGGTGGTTAGTGATCTGCATCGGGCCTAAAAAAAGCGGTAAAAATTAAACAGAGAAAGTGATTAGTGATCTGTATCGGGCCCAATTTTTCAAGCTCAGCCCGGCGCGGGTTTTTAAAAGTTTATCAGCCCGGCCCAAATTTATTTAAATATAGAAATTAATTTTTATAATCACTCAAAATAGAGAAATGTTTTTTTTATGGCATCTAGTTTCTATAAATAAAGTCAAATATTTTTATTTTAAATTAAAAATTCAACATAAAATTGATAAATTTAGATATATTAAAAAAAAATTCCAAGGCCTAACCCAACCCAGCCAGAATCCAATATCTTTTTTTTATAAAATAGGCCCGTCCCGAAGCCAGTTCGAACTAGGCCGGGTACAGGCCGGGCCTACTTTTGCAGATCTTTAAGGTAGATATAAAATTTCCAGGGAAGAGCTTATTATTGTATATCGAACTTATAATTTTTTATCATTTTATTTACTTTTTTTTCTTTATTAATTCTAGAATTTCTGGTTTTTTTTCTGTCTGAATTTTCATTTCAACGAATTCTTTATTTTCTTAAAAAGGATAAATAATTTGTTATCGACGCATTGGAATCAATAAATTTTCTTTTCTTTACATGTATATTGCTATTCAATAATTATTTTTCTAATATAAAACTATTTATGTTTTTTGCACAGGGATGAACTTAGGTGATATTAAACGCCCAAATTAAATACAGTGTTGTGATGATTTAATGAAACATATTGACGATACCCATCCATACAAAATTATTTTCTTTGCAAAAATAATTAAAATATAGACAAAGCATTATTGAAAATTCTTTTATTACTCCTTTTGTTATTTTATTTTCTTTGCAAATATAATTAAAATATAGACAAAGCATTATTGAAAATTCTTTTATTACTCCTTTTGTTATTTTATTTATTTTTGCAGAAGAAAATAATTTTATATGAATGAGTTTTAATTTAATCGTCAATATGTTTCATTAAATCATCACAACACTATATCTATCCTCTCTTGGCCATTGGGTCGACCCCTTGCTTTAAACTATTCGTGTAAAGATATATTCGTGACATCGAATAATAAATAACAAGAGTAATAGCTAAATCGTAGAAATTAATATAATAGTAGTATTCTCTTCTCTTACAAATCATAATTTTAACCAGTTAATTAGTATTACTATGGAAAACTCTCGAGGTGACTTTCTAAATTTTTTAATAATAGTCTGTAGAAAATTTTTAATAGAGTAGCTGCATAGAGCTTCCATAACTCGGTAAAAAAGCGAATTAGAAGTATGATATGGTCAAACGTTATTTTTATATATAAGTGCATGTCCATTGGATGATATTTTTTTTACATAGTATATATTTTATTATACCTTTTTAACAAGTTATATATTTTTTTAGTTTGTAAATTTTATTAACTATATATATTGTTTTGGGTTATAGAATCATTGAGAATCGAATTCTATCAATTTTTGGGGCAATTTTAAATTTGAAAAATTTCTAATTTGATAGATTTGTTCTAGCATGTGAAGAGTGCCTATCCTCTGAATATCAGACACTTAACTTTTGTATATTCTCTAATTTTTATAAAATCTATACATAAAAATTATAAATTAACAGATATTTAAAAAATCATCTCAAAGTTTGGAATACATACTGTAATACATAACCGGTTAAATACTATTTTTCAAATTTAAAAATAGTAAATCATTTAAAATCGAGCATCCGACTATGAATTCCATATCCTTTAAATGTTTTGACGTTTAAACTGAATAAAATGATACAACTATACTAGAATATAAAATAATATTATTTACATTATATATATTTTTTTTTATTTCTTTAAATTATTTTTATTAGTATAGATTTTATTTTAAATTAATTTTTAAACATAGTTAATTATTTTCTCATAAAAACAAATATTTATTACATATAATATACAATGAACAATATACATATATTAATAATAAGAAGAAAATAACAAAGAGGGAAAAAAAGAGGGGAGGGGGGAGGGCACAAAATGTATTGAAGTTAAAACTAATCATCTTGTGGAATGAGGCTGCCTGTGAAGCTAATGTAATTAGTCTTGTGTAACACTATGGCGAGTCTTAGTCGTAAGAAGAAGCCTTCGCGAGGTTCATCCGTAAGTTTGCATATAGCCGAGTTCCTTGAAAAAAGATAAAGCACATTTTCCAAAAGTTGTGGAAATGATGGAAATGAATATTCTTGAGAAATTTAGGAATATATAGCTATTTTAAGTGACTCCTTTTTCTCAAGAATGTTAAGGGTTTGATTGGATGGTGCAAGTAGATCAATACACGAGTAATTCCAGACCAAGAACCACGCTTCCAAGGAATTTGAGAAATCTCGTCAGGCCGTTTCCCATCAGATCTGAAAAGACCGGAAGGTTCAAGAATAGAGGGAATTTGAGCAGATCTCAAGGTTCTAAGGATGATTGAATTGCATAGATTATTACTAATGATACGACCTTTACCGACAGTAGAGCCTATGTCTTCCATTACTCAAAACGGCTGAACTACATCCTGAACATATGTGGGGTTGGGTTATTAGGCAGTTTAAACGAATACCAATCACGTGAGTGAGCTCGTTTTGGTTCAATTGTAATTGCAAATTAACTGAGGAAATAGCTTCAAGGAACTCATGGCCTGAACCATATAGCAGTGAGGAGAATAAAGGACGGTCAGATAATTGCATTCTGGAAACAACGCAGATTGCAATAATAGGTCTATCCCTCTGCTTATTCGTTTCAGGAAGAGTGATCAACAATAATTCGTGCTTTCCATTCAATGATAGCATCATTATAGTAAAATTCGGGTTTTATCAAATGAGAATTTAATATATTCTTTTTAAAGACAACCGGATATGATGGCTGTTAAGGCGAGATCGGACGGAGATCTGATACCAAGTCCTCCCATCTTGGTGGGTAAAGAGGCTTGTTTCCATGCAATTTCATCGAATTTAAGGTTTAGAATATTTTCGATTAGGAATTTAATCCATTTTTATTAACTTCAAGAGGAATGGGGAATATAAAAATGGGAGTTGATCGAAGCGCATAAAGGATACGAAGTATATTTTATTTGAATTAATATAAAAAATGGAAAATTTTTTTACCTTTAAATTTATGATTGCTATTCAATATTTTTTATAATGTAATAATGCATTAGTGGATGCAAATTATAAATTGATTCTTTTATTAGAATTTAAATGATTAACGTATGCGAGGATTTAAATAAATAAATAATTTTTGATTTCACAATTTAGTATAATGTTTTTAATGGGCAGATTGGTGGGTGGGTTTAAATATCTTGCGGGTAGGATGATTCAAAATAAAAATATTGCATAAAAGTTAATAAACAACCAAACCAACTAATGAAACCTTGGACTAATGCATGTAACATGTTTAAACTAATGGGCAATATAGTAAATGTCCTTTGAAAAATTGAATCTTATTATTAAACCGAATACTTCTAATTTGAATAGGGATCCCATTAATGGTATGGATTCCTGACGTAGATGCTTCTACATGAGCCTTCGAAAGCCATAAATGAAAAATATAAAAGCAAAATGCTAAGATAATAAGAAACTTTGTTCCTGAACTTCAGCCTCTTAAATTATCAGACATCTTTATTTCCGATCATGATGATAATTTTTAGCTGAGGTTCAGGAACAATAAAATAAAAGCAACTGTTTTGCTACTTTAATATTTTGAATTTTTATTATCCTTATTCAATTATTAACTTCTAAATCTATTGCAAAATATATAATTGATAGAATATTAATTTTGTTTTAAAAGGCAATAACTATTTTTACGATCATCAATCTCCGCTGAAACTCTCATTTAAAACCGATCAATCTGATCTAAAACTCAAAAGTCCAGCCAAATGTCCCGTATGCCATGGTCTTTGCAGCGAAGATATCCACAAACATTTTATAACCGAGATGGAATTGTTCCTCAGTTTTTTTTTCTACGAGTAAATTTAAAACTTTTGATGAATAGCAATAGTTTTGTTGACTTTAAAACAATTAATGGTTTTAAGGTCTTTCAATTTTTTATATTGATAAAGTAATTTCAAATCAGTAAATTCTAGTTTATAAAGAAAGAACGAATGCTTAAAATTAAACTTCTATCTCTCCCTATATTATAATACATATACAAATAACAATAAATTATCATAAAATTAAACTTTCAAATTAACATTATTTAAAAACAATTTCTAATTTTTTTTATAGATGATTATAATCATTTTATAATATTTTTTTAAAAAAATATTGAAAGATAGAGTTCCAAAAAAGGAACTTACAAACACAATAAAAATTTGTATGCAAAAAACGACAATTGAATTAGGACATTGATTTTTTAAGAATTAATTAAATATAAAAAGAGAATATATTTTTTAATAAAGTTATAATATATACCATGACCGACAAAACAATAGAATAATTTATGTACTGTTAAAAAATATTATTTTTGGTAAACTTAACGCAAATCTGAAAACCTAAAAATCATTTCTTAGATACATGACGTTCTTTGAACATTATAACACTGTTAAATTTATCATTCAAATTGTTTTAAATTAATGGCCACGTCCGTCTTCTTCATAGTATAATCTTTCACATAAGACAACAACGATAATGTAAAAATTGTATAATAATTAATTACACCATATAGTAATTTACCTCATATTGGTGCCAATAAAATTAGATATTCAATTCGAATATCTTAAATATATTCGATAATGACAACTCATAAAAATAATCATATAAAGTTATTCAATAAAAATTTAAGTTTTGAAAAAATTAACTTATATCACATGATAAATCATTTATTTAATTACATGTTATATAAAAAAGAAAGATACAACAAAAAGTATTTGGCTTTCATATTAAAACAGGGCTGGCAAGTCGATAATACCGTCAATTGACCGAAAGTAGTCAATTATAGTCATATAATCTAAAATGTTATTTTGATATTTTTGATTAAATGTATCATATAATTATTATGTATTTGAACTTGTTTATCAATTTAACCTTAGTTAAAGAATCTTGGGAAACCCTTAATTTTAAACAAACGATATTAGCAAAAAATAATAATATTTATAGTAGTGATAGTAAATCTGATGAAGAATTAAATCAAAATGACAACTTTCTAATCGACTTGGATGCCATTATTTTACTAAGTATCCCAGAAATTTGATTTTGAGTCCATAACTAAACTCTGACTTATTATCAAATATTATATGTAAAATCTAGTATAAAAGGTTAATATACCAAAGAAAAATTAAAACTTGATAAAATTTTTGCAAAGGCGGAATTTGTAAGCAATTTACTGTTTTATATTACCAAAAATTTATATATAAAAGAGTCTTTTAAAAAAATATGCCCTTTACCCATTCGAAAGTAGTTCATCTCTCTTAGATAAAGCCTTTGTAAATATAGAAGTGAAGGTTGTGGATACTATACATAATATATCACATTTATCTATTGTTTCAGATAGGTGGCACAGTATCCAAAATAAAAGCATTATAAGTTTTATGGTAATGAGGCCGGTTTCCATATTTATAAGTTTTTACCCAGGAAAATAGCCATAAGATTATATTTCCCAACAATTTAATAATATAATTGAAAATTAAATCCTACAAAAGTGTATTCCTAAGTTACGGATAAGGGTCTAATATAAAGGCTACTTGGAGAATTTTAAAATCCCAATTGGCCTTTAGCCCTATTCAATTTTATGGATGCCACTCACACATTTGCAATTATTTTTTTGGTATCTTTAAAAAGAGTTATTTAATTTATATATATGTATTATTAAAAAAATTGTTAAATTTTTTAAAAAATCATATACCAAGTGTATTATTTTCTCGCTATTTGCCCTTTAAGGGAAGTCAAATATCTTATTAACCCTTCCAAGTTGAACTTCTTTTTCAGAGAAATTGGTCCGTCTGAAGTAAAATTCATACTAAGAACCGAAATAGATTGAAAACTTTGACTAAAGGAAAATTAACTAGCGTTTATCAAAGAGAATGATTATTCTATTGAACCAGGAAACGACTCTGTTATAGTAAGTGAAAATGAAACAGTATTTCAAGAATAAATCAAAATGTTACCCATATAACTATTAAAGTGAATACTATAAAAACATTTAAATGAATATGAGCATATTTGACCAGTTAAATATAAATCAATTGGCCGAATAGTATTTTCTGAATTACAATAACCATAATCTACCCTTTGATATTAGTTCAGGCAATTAATGTTATTGGTTTCGGTGCTAGATAGGTAAACTGATGGTAGGGACAAGCCAGGCTCAGAATTTTTATATGAAGATACATGAATAATTCGATAGATTGTAATTATAATATATATATATCCTTTACTATCTAAACTTTGATTTACAAGAATTAATTAATATTTAATTAATCTTTAGTAAATTGGTCAATAAATTGTCTAATATATTCAAAAAATGACTAATTAATGGTGAATATTGAAAGGAAAATTGACTTCTTACAAAACTTTATCTATCTATAAAGTAAAAAAATATAAAGCTAAAGATTCTAACAATGTATATATATGTAAATCAGCTAAAAGATATAGTAAATTAAAGTCTATCCTAATAATCAATCTGACTAATCATTTTTAAAAAGATAGAATTTGCTGAGAAATTATTGAATCTTTAAAATAACATATAATAAAATTATGCCAATAAATTGGCTCTAAATTTTAGAATTAGATATGATTATCATAATTATGAGCTTAAGTTTCTATAAAATATCTCTGGGAATGACGATGAGGTTCTTAATGTTATTCACTTTAAAATGAAGATCTAAGGCTATGAGATTAATTAATTCTTTATATTCTTAGTTGGTATATAAAATAAATAAACTCATAGATACCCACAACCCCCCCCCCCTTATTTCAATCTATTTGCTTAAACATTTTGTTTGATGTCATATAACATTATTTATGATTTAAATTCTGATTATTAATAAAAATACATTTAAAATAAATGTTACTATCAAAGTGATTTTTATCCATATAATGTAACTAACAATATAAATTTATAAACCCCTGATTGATCTAGCGTAAGAAAATTTTCCGAATATTATAATATATTTTTTATCTAAACAAGTATACTATTAATTTATTTTTTAAAAACTCTTCTTTACAAGTAAAGAAAACGATTCGAGCAATCTAGCATCAAATTACGGAGCAAACAATCATCTCAGAGTTAAATTCAAAGTATGATACATATTTTTTAAATATATCTAAAAAATTAACGTTATTGATAATATAATACTAATAGGCAAGGATTAAGGATGTGAATACTCTGGGATTAATAATAATCTGCATTTCAATTTGCATTCGACTTTTTTATAATTTGGATCAATATTACAGTGATAAAAACTTTTTAATCCGAAGATTTTCACATTTCCTATGTTTTTTTGACGCCAAAACTACTATAATAAGCCAAGTATTTGGCAATATTTTGATCCAGTTATTATAATTTTAAAAAAAAATAAAAACGATTTTATAGCAAGAATCCGACTCATTATCGGAGAGTGTTGAAACATCCTCAAACCCTCAAGACCCCCAACTAGACACATTTGAATCCATGACCAACCAAGTTAATTATGTAAATAATTCTTGCATACTTTGACTAGCAAATAAATTTTATATTAAAATCTATAAAATTAGGCAGAGACTTCTGTTAAGACTATAATTTTGTTTGTCATAGCTAGGCTAATTTTTTATTTATGAGCATGAGCATAGCAAGGATCTTGCTAAGAGGGAGGTTAGTTTCTTACCCATAAATTTGAGATCTTTAAAATCACCTATTGCAGGCCTTTGGCTATGTTACATTTTTAAAATATTAGTTTTGATTCACTTTTTTTTATAAAAATCCTTTTTTTTCTAAAAATTTTGATAAATAGTCATTATTTAACTTATGCTGATTTTTCTTTCAAATTATCTTTTATAGTGATAAATATTGTTTATATTTTGGGAGAGTCGCGGAATGTAGAGGGAAGATTCATAATAGCTTAAGGTGATACTAACGAAAACATAACTTTCTGAAAAAAGGATTTCTCCTCCCCCCACCTCCTTTGGCTACTCCTATGTATATGAGTCTCTATCAGACAACTGATTTTATATTTATGAGCAAGGTGGTCTATCTGTTTCTTAAAAACAGATCCTCGCTGGTCAGATAGATTAAATTTTAGAAAATTACGAAGATTCCGAAGGATCTTATACATTAAATATACTTTTTTTCAAAGCTGATTTTACTTTAAGGGATAGAAGTACACATTTTTTTGATGAAAAGGACTCTAATAAATGTATTAATAAAAACATTTATGATAAAATAGTGTTGTAAAGTATATATTTGAAAAGCTATGCACTCTTTAACGTTGACCACTTTGCCTAATTATTTTTTTAATAAAAACATTTATGATAAAATAGTGTTGTAAAGTATATATTTGAAAAGCTATGCACTCTTTAACGTTGACCGTTCCGTTAAAATATCAAAAAATCATATAATGAAACTCTTAATATTTATTTACTGCTCTATATTATGTATTGTTTACATTCCTAACGCAATCCTCTAAATGCTTTGATTCTAATATTAATTAAAATCTCATTTACACAATAAAACTAAAATTATTCAAAATAATAAGGAAATTTAAAAATTCTAAAATCTGGGTCTGTCCCTTTGGAAAATGGATGGTTATATCGAGATTTTGGCCAAAAAAATATTCTTAAGCCTGAATGTATATACTGCCCAACTTCATATTATTTGTCCATCATTTTTTATTTTATGCATATTAAAATTTTCGATAAAAATAATAATACACTATTTAGACTAAATATTTTTATATTATAGTTAATATATTGTAAGAGATATAAAATTTATTAATTTATATTAGTAAAATATAAAAGCGCTTCATAAATTACATTCATTTTAATTTATCATTCATAAATAATCGTCCTTGACTTTAAATATTTGTTTCACTTTCATAACGGCATTTATTCTATTAGCAGTAGTAGCGGGAGCTCGAGCCCTCCGAAAAATTTGATAAGCCCCCTCAAAATTTGGAATTTTTTTATACCACTAAAAAAAGGTCAGTTAGCTAAAAAAAAAAAGATTTAATTTTAATATAAAAAATTTTTTGGGCTCCCTGAAATTGTAAAGGTTAGTGACGCCCCTGTCTATTAGACATTGAATTTATAAGATCCCTCTATGATTCTCATATAATAGAATTTTATATATTTCCTATAGTTTTTTTTTTGGTTTCATCCTTGTAATAGAGGGGATTTTAAATTTCTTTTCATGATATCCATAAAGTTTTAATTGGAAATCAGAAGTAGATCTGGCCATCTAAAATATTAATCCCTCTATCAGATCCAATTTTTAAAGTCGATTTCGCAATATGTTTGTTAAAATAAACTTACGCCATTAAGAGATAAAGGAATAGATGATTGGGTATGCTGATCTAATTTCACGTTTTTTATTGATTTTTGAAAATTTTCTAATTTTTTGGTTGTTAATTTTTTTAATTTAAAATATTAAAACGGTTTGAACTAGAAATATCTAGATAAATAGCAAATGCTACAGGTAAAAGATTATTTATAAAATATATTAATTAAGTTCTGATTCATTTTTTTACAATATAAAAAGTCATTAAAATTAAATTGTTTTTAACGGACATATTTAATTATGAAATAAAAATTAATATTTAATTTAATAATATGAAATCTTTTAATGTTATTATATTCAAAATAATTAGAATAACAAATCTATAATGTTTATTTCACAAGGTGGCATATTTTATTTTTTTAAATTGAATTTTTAAATTATTTTTTGAACGACGTTATGCCTGAAGTTAGATTAGTTGTTAGATATGGGTAAGTAAATATAATTTTATAATGAATAGTGATTGTTTAGTCATTTCCAATTCAGCTGATTATAATAAACCTTTAATGATTTTCATGAGTAATCCCAATTTAAAAATTATATTATTTTATATATAATATAAATAATAAATGCCACCTAGCGGATTAAATATTATAATATTACTTATTCCATTTCTAATTATTTTGAACATAATGATATTAGAATATTTAAACCATATATTTAATGAAGTATAATTATTAATTTATATGATCATGACTTTATCAGGCGCGTAAATAAGGGGGAGGGGATCCCCCCCACCCTCCATCCCAAATTTGACTGTTTTCATAAATATCATTTTAAGCTAATAAAAAATTTACCCCCACTCTCTCCTCACCAACCTCTTAATCAAAATTTTGCAAATTTGAATTTCAATTTTCCAACATAAAACTTATTTTATGAAATAAATTTTATTGAAATTTCCCTTCCTTGTGAGTCAGTAGCATATACAGGATTTTCCTAATTCTTGATGAATTGGCAAATCACATTATAATTATAGTATTTAATAAATTTTTTGTATAATATTGTATTTGATAAGAAGTGATAAAAACTTGCTTTTTAAATTATTTTCTAGTCAATATTTTATACACACTACAATTAGTTTCAAAAAAAAATTTATTCAATTTATATTTGAGAATTTAAGCTGAGGCTAGTTTCTAAAGCCAATTTTATAAAAAAAATTGGCACTAAACTTTATTTCAATTTTATATTTAAAAAAAATTTTATTAAATATAATATACCTAACTTTTAAAATAATAAAAAATTGGGGTATAACCTTTATTTCTTCTTTAAATATCCATAGTGCGATAAAAGCTAAAAATATTAATACAATTAATATTGAATTGTGAATAATTTTAAATAGCTCAAAGATATGACCCGGCCGAAGGCCAGGGAAAAGTTAGCCGAATGCCAGCTAAGTAATAATTTATACCTGCAGAATTTTACAGTTTGCCTAGGCATTCTCAATAAATATTTATATTGAAAATTCTTTTGATTTATGATTAGATGAGATAGATCAGATTCCTTTTACACCTGATAACTTTCTAATAAGAATTGGTTGGACAATTTTTGATTAAATTTTAAATTTTTGATTAAATTTTAAATTTTTTTTATAATAAAAATGTGCCCATTTGATTAATCTACTGCCTATTAACCATATCTCGAGGCATAGCCTTATTTATAAATTTTATGGGATTAAATATACGATCCTTAAAAATAGGCTCAACCTTCGAGCACTAGTTGAAAAAAATTGCTTACCCTTGAACTCGAAATCTGTGTATTATCGCTCAAAATTGGAACTTAATAAATAATAATTATACTTTTATATTTGACTCTTGAAAAATACTTTTATTTTAAATTTCTAAAAATTCCCACCCTATAAACATAATTTTGCGTTTTATAAATTTGTTCATTTTTCTGTTTTGTTTAAATTTTTATGGAAAATACCTACTATAAACATACTTTTTATGTAATTTTTTTTAAGAATTAATTGCATATAATTTCAAAATCAAAATTTTCAATAACCATCTATTTGATTTCTTGTTCTAACATTTGTTATGTTTTAATAATAAAAAGTCAAAATATTAACTTACATATCATATTAACTGATTTGAAATTTTTATAAATTTTAAAATGATAAAAGCAATCATCATTAAAAAAAAAAGTGTTCCCATTGACATCTCCAAACATTGATAATTTTAAGTTGAAGGATCGCGCTTCAAGGTTGAGCCGATTTTTTCGGCTATGAACTTGGTTAAGCCATTTTGGAGTCAGCTTTGTGGAGTTTTTACTACCCCGTAGGGTAGCTTCAAAAAGACACCCATACCATCCTGGATTCGAACCTAGATCTAAAGGGTAGGTTTGATATCTGTACTCACTAACTCGGTTTGTCAACGATTTTTGTGATAATATATATTATAAAATCAACGTCAGCGCTAATACATGATTACCCTATCATAACATAAAAATTTTAATTGGATTTATATATTTTTTAATGTTTTTAAAAACTTATATAGTCTTTACTTCAATCATTTTCGTAAAAAAATATAAATTAAAATAAAAATCATATCATATTCACTTGGTGTTTCAAATGTAATTGGTGAAACTGATTGCCGCACTAACTTTTATAATTTGTGATTAAAAAAAATTCTTTTAAATGTATTTTGTTTATTTTAAAATATAATTTGGAAATTTCTTTTTAAAAAAGGAGATTTTTTAAAATGATATATTTTGGATATAATAATCTATTGATATTTTTTTTAAAATTGAATAATCAAATATCGATTATCTAATTAATTTTTTATTTTTGCATTTTATTTTATTTTAAAAACGATTTTTGATTTTTCATTGTACTATCATAATATAATAAGAAAAATTTACTTCAAATTAGATTTCTTCGTAATCTAAAAGCTTTGAGCTGAGCCATAACATTTTCTCTCAATTTTATGTCAAAATTTGTCGCTTTTCGAATATCCTCTTTATTTATTTTTTGATCAATAAATTATCAACTATTCATTCCTACTCACACCCTTCCCTAAAACCGTTTTAATGAATTAACAAATGTGGTCGGTATTATTTCCACTTAATATAACCCCATTTCTAATTGATTGAAATATGGTAGAAGATTGGTTTGATCAAATATCTTATCTAATATGTTGGTCATAGACCTGCCCAAAATGAGCGAACGTGAATTTTAAGGCCTACCCTTCATAAATTTATGCCGATTTTTTTCCTCACGGATACCAATATACCTTGTACCCAGTTGTAATTTAACAAAAATGAGTGGAACCCTTTCCGATATTGTAATAGTGAGTAAACAAGGATTAAATAGATTATGGTGAGAATGTGGGGGATGGGAGAGCTAAGCAGCGGGTTCTTTGTTCTTTTAATATAAAAAATTAATTCAGGCACAGAATAATATGATACCCTCATCAATAATCTACAAAATAAAGACTCGAGAAAATAGTTATTTACCATAATACTGGATCTTTTCTAAAATTTGTCAGAGATTTAAATTTTTAAACGGATATTCTAAAAATTTAATCTTGCTAGGTGAGGGTTTTAGATATCATGAAATAAAAATAAAATATTTTATAAAGAAAATGGTAATATATTAATGTAATTATACATTTTAATTCAAAAACTCATCCTTTCCTATTTTAATTGGTTCTTAAAAAATGAATATCCAATTAAAATAAGAGGATCAATCGTTTTGACTAGCCGTTTACTTGCTGAAACCCTGCTTCCTCACAAGGACTGCTTATATCAAGTGAATGGTGAAATTATACAATTGGTAGCAGCCATTTGTAAGACAGAACTTATAAACTACGAAGTTAAATTTTTGAATATGTTGGGACCTATGCAAACAAACAAAAACAATAGTGCTAGAGATTGCATTACAAAGGTTGATGACATTGATAGATAAATTAAGATAATATCTAATACTGCATATTATCCTGCAAAATTAAATCTACCATTTGTAGATTTTGAATCGTTAATATATATGCAAAAGCACCATGGTTTCGATAGACATCGAACATATTTTGTTTTCTAGGTATTCTGCCTTGTTAATAATTGTGAGCATTTCCAAAGAAAATATGGAAATTATAAATATTAATTTACAATCCAAGATCAGATGCATCTACAACATTGTCAAATAAACCATCTTTGGTGATTTATATAAAGTCGATATTGAGATCCATTTTGATGAATCTATTTTTATATTTATCTGATTAAACTGGAATCAAAAGATATAGAGGGTATTGTTCATATCCTACTGGATCTATAAATCCGTTGTTTTTTCAAAAATTTGCAAAAAAATTGGAGCGATGGTAGTGTCATGTCTGGAAAGAAATCTAGTATCTCAACCTGGCATTGTTTAAATCACCTTTTAGAATTAGCGGCGTCCAGTGCAATTAAATGTGAAATAGGTGTTAATCACTTAGAAGCATATATTAACCAGTATATAGTTTATATAGCCTGTCTCATAAAATAAAAAGGCGTTGGATCAAATAGCAATCAAATTAGGCATTCAGTTGAAGATTGGGAGGATATTTGTTGCACAAGGGCATCTAGCAGTCTTCGTATATTAAGGTTAGTTTAGACAAACTATGAGGCCAGGAATATGTATTTCAAAAATTCACCAAATCCTAGCTAAAGTGCAAAATTTAATGGGTTGTCCATCTGATAAGAAAATGGGGAATTCTTATCAGATGTTTGATGTTCTATTTGAATTATTCAATCCTTCAAACAAGAACACTCAGCAAACTAATCGTCTTCTGAAATCGTGTACCTGGTGACCTAAATCTCTTTTATAATTTCTAAATGAATGTTTATTTAATATTTCAAAGGAGAACATATTATAATATTTCAAAAAGATAATGAAATAAGTCAATTTTGATTAGTAATATTGAAAAAAAACAGAAGGTACTCTGTTATCAAATTCATTACTGCCGTAGACATTGTGATTTGAATGAGTTTCAAAATTGCAATAACACAATTCCATGTAGTACTATTGATAGGCGTGGCTTTCATCTTATGAACGTCAATATGACGGATTTACATGCAAATCTTATGATAAAACATATTTCCAATTTATTGATAATCGGGCCTCCTCCCAGTCAGTGGAATTTTAAGTAGCTGACAAGTCACAAGGACTGCAAACCATAAACAATCAAGGAAATAAGCGGTTAATATTATTAAAATATTGAAAAGATTTGATGTGGCGAATATAGTAGTTTTTCACTTTTTTTTATCTATTCCGTTTTATGCATCATATTTTAATATAATTATGAGATGCATTCTATAAAATTACCTCATATTTTATGCGAAATATATTTTTTGCAATATATTTGAATTAATAACCTACTAATAGCTATTTTATATAATATTGATACAATGTATTGTATATGAAATACTTCCATAACTATTAAAAAAAATATTTAATTTTTTGCCTCAAACTCTTAGAAAAACATAAATTTTCCTCTATTTTTTACTCACTTTAGCGTTCCCCCTACTATTTATTTTACTCGCCGCAAAATTTAGAAATACAACACTTTAAATTAATTTATCACAGTATTTATGATAGAAACGTCAACATTTATGGCCTTGTAAATTTTACTTATGAATTTTGTATAATTTAGATTATTAGTTAATTTATAAAGTACAAACCCCATCTTTTAAAAATTAATGCCAAACATCGTTTTTCAAATCTGCCCCTTTAAAACTAATTGGGAATTTATTACCGACCATTATTTTATCCTTCCGTTCAATTCAGGTATCCCTTATAAGTGAACGTAATTTAATCTCATTTTTAAAATATACCTGGGATTATTTTAGAACTATTAGGGTAGATTCATTGTTAACTAAGTCTCTGTAAAAATTAAATCTACCATTTTTGGGATGGATGAAAATAGGAAATAAGAAAAAATATAGTACTATTTACGATTTTATTAAAATATTCATCGATTAGCATAGTTGAAATATATTATATGGAATTGTTATGGGTGATGTGATTTTAAATCCCAACAAAATTTTTATTATTTCTTACAAAATTGCGAAATTTTATTTATTAATATGTAGACCTTCAAAAAAATCAAAAACAACCGCGTGGCAAGAATGAAAAGTAATATTTATTTTTTTTATATACAAATGTCATTTTACCCAATTTAAAATATTAATTTTTTAAATTTTATTTTTTCCATAATAAAAATATGTGTGGCCTGCCTCCATTAGTGAATAGACCCAAAAAAGGGCACCATAAAATCAAATATATAGTTGATTTATTTTAATATGACTAAATTCGCTATTAAAATAATGTTAAGTATACTTCAAGTGATACCTTCATAATCAAAACTCTTAAAGGTGTTTTTTATAATTACTTAAGGCCCAGAACCAAGCTCAGAATTGGATAAAAAGATTTTAAATCCCCTCTGGGCTTAAAATAATTTATTAATAAACCCGAGACAGCGGTCATAAATTAATTTAAATTATAATTTTCTGAACACTGGTCATATCTTGAACTTTGCAGATCTCTGATGAATATATACCCGCTTTTGTGATCTTGTATGTATAAAGATTACCATAATTTGCATAACTTCTATAATTAATAAAAAAAATGGACGCTTTAAGTTAATACTCTCATCTCTTGCAAGTGTGTTTAATAAAAAATTTGAGTGGTAATGAGATTTTTTGATAAATTCAAATGAAATGATAATTGAAAGAGAGGAAACTTTACAGGTTTTCACATATTTAATGATTAAAAGGAAACTACATGCTATCCAAGAGTTATGAAAACACAATTTTTTTCGATAAGACAGACCACACCATCTCCTCCATTCTAAAGAGCCCTCAGCCTAGATCTGTTAGAAGCGGTTCCAACAACAAATTATCAAGTTTTGATGAAGGGCCGCTCAAAACAGAAAATGTTTGTCCGATTTCTGCAAATAATATAAATATTTATACTAATGATGAACAATCGAAGACTAGCAAAAATAATCAAAAATCACCTTTAAAAAACGAAAATTTTTCTGAAAGCTTTTCGATGATCAAGACTTGCTCTGATAATTACAGAAATGGTGACAAAGATGGATCCTATGAAAGGGAAAGTCTATCATTAGAGCGACCCGAATCTGGAGGTATAAACCATAACAATGATATATTGTCAGCATCAATATCTAACCAACACGATAAAGTAATTATTATCTTTTAAACATATACTTGGGAAAATTATTATCTCATGGAAATAATACCCATAAGTCTTAAAAATTTAAGTTAGTATTTTAATTTTTTTCGTTTATACCACCTAACGCAATACATATATTGATTATCTCAAGTGTGTTATTATCTCAATTAAATAATATAAAAACATTTACAAAATTCAGAGTTGTATCGATATGATAGATTATTACTTATATCAAGCTCTAGTTTTCCATTATACTACTACCTGATTTACTGTGTATATTTAATAAAATGTTAGAGAGCTGCTGCTTTTAATAAACCAATTTTTTGAAAAACCAAATTGATATGTATTATTATAAATTTTAGCATACATAAAAAAGTTAAAAAAGGATCTTTGATTACATCAGAATATAAAGTATATAAAATAGGAACTTGAGAGGATATAATACAATTAACAAAGCTCTCAATATCAATTCTAACTGACAAATAAAATGATTAAAATATTAACAAAAAAATAAGGGGAGAAAATCAGGTTTAATTTCAAATATCAAAAATATTTTTGGAGCACTGGCTGAAATTGAACATGGAAAAAGGATCTAAATTTATGTTAAATGTTATAAACGGTTACTTTTGAGCTGATTTTTAAAAACGGTTAACTCAATATTTTATTCAGAAAAATTACTCAGACCATAAGATTTTGCTCATATAAGGTACAAAAATCTAAATATTTAAAAGCGAAACCTGGAGGCTTTGGCAAGACATTTTGGGGAAAATATTGAGTTAGTCGTTTTTAAAAATTGACACATAACGAGCCATTTAACAACACTATGACTTGTTTTATTGTAAATTTTTGTATTATTTTTTAATATGCTGAGGTTCATTTCTAATCTAGTTTAATTACATAACTTTTATTAAATTAGTCACCTAAAATATTGCCGAAAATTATCATTGATCAAGATGGAAAGACTTATATAGATCAAAATAAAATAAACAAATAGTTAAATGTCATAACTACCGAGCCAACGAGCAAGGTAATAATTTTTAAATGTATATTTATGTGTAAAGTTCATTTAGAATACGTGAGAATTTGGAATATCTCAATTTTTAATCATTTTCGAGAACGTTAAATTTAATAAATCGAATATACCGGAAATGTATTTCAGAATATATAGAGTACCTATCAGTGGCGTAGGCCAAATTTATCCATAAAAGGGGGGGGGGTTGAAATTTTTTTTGGTGGCTTCGCCCCCAAACTCCTATTCTTCCGGCCTTAGGCCAGGTCCTTAAAAATTATTATTTAATATTAATTTTTCAGTAGTTATCCTTATATCATCTTTGTTGCTGTACAATTGGAAATACTAATTCTGAAATTTTCCAGTATTTTGTGCTTTATTAGTGTTTAGCCACTTAAGTATCCAGCATAAATTAAAAAATATTAATAACAAAATTGAAAATTTTATCAATGTTTAGTGTTCAATTGTAAATTAATTCTATCCATTTGGTGCAGGAAAAAAAATCCCCCTCTCCGCTTCCCCCAAACCTCTCATATTTTATGATACCTCAATGTATCTTATTCTATGTTGAAAATAATTATTTTAATTAAATTTTTGCATATAACAAAATTTTACAGAGAATTTCATTATAGATTTTATTTATTATTAAAATACTTTAGTATAAATAACATCCCTTTATTTAACTATGTATTTATTTTAAGATAATATACAATAAAATAAATTTCTCAATTTATATAATTTATAAGATTATTATAATAAAAATTTATTGTAAATGACTATATTTTTATTGACCATATAATTAATTTAATTTCGCGTAAATATACATATATTAAAAAAATATACTGTATTTAAAAATAAATATGTAAAATTACAATAAAATATAAGTAATTTTTGTTGCAAATAACGGAATTCAAAAAAAATATATAATTTAACAATTATAACTAATACAAATGGTTATATGAGAAAGAAAAAAAAGGATTCTAACTAATTAAGGGAAGAGGAAGAAGATCTAGATATATCTGGCTTCTCGGGGAATGAACCCATGAAACAAGTGAAATTAGACTTTATAATCTGAATTCCTATGTATGCGTTGACGTAAGTAGACGCCAATAAAAATATAATTACAATAAAATAAAATATAAGTAATTTTTGTTGCACATAACGGTATTTAATAAAATATAATTTAACAATTATAATTAATACAAATGATTATATTATCAAATTATATATAACACTTATCAAATGCAATGCTTTTATTAATAATAGTATATAATATAAAAAATATATAAATATTATGACTGTTATTATAATTAAGTTTTGCATATAAAAATCTTTTGAATTACACATATTATAATCATATTGTAATTTTATGATTTGAATTTATAAAAAGAGATCTATTTTTCTTTGAGATTTGGCTAATTATCTAGAATAATCTACTTATAAATATTTAATAGTGTTAATCCTTTCAAACGGTTTTCACCGGTGCTATGTTTTTAACCTTTTTACCTTAATCCTCAATTTTTTAACAATTTTTAACTTCTTATTTTTAACTTTTAACAATTCTTATTAACTTTTTATTAAATTTTAAAATACCAAAAATTAAATTTTTAAATTCATTTTATTATAAATTTCATAATTTCTAACAATACATCCGACCAATCAACTATTACAAAATATTTTAAATAATTTAACTGAGAGGGTTTTTCCATATCATATCTATGTTCCCTGAGTAGCATTGATATTATGAGAGTAATTGCTACGGTATCGTCCTTCGGTGTCAATGAAATATTTGTCGTGCTATCATCAATAAAGTCAGATGGAAGGGTCAATGATCATAGTGTGTTGTTCCCAAACAGTCTGGGTAAACGGTTATTCGAAATTGGGGTATTCATTGACATGGACACTTAATTATCGATTTGGTTATTTATTCACAGCTTTAGAGGATGGTCATATTGCCCCATCATACGTCCCTCAGACTGACAATTGTAACACTTTTTTTTTACTATTAACGGTTTATTTCTGGAATTGTTGAATTTCCATGTTGACAATCTTTGGGATCAGGGCCACATAGTATTTATTAAAATCAATCAACTGGGATGGGGTTTGCATGGTAGCATGATATACAAGACAAAATTTATTTACTTACACTTTATTTTACAAAAATTTATAAAATATCAAATTTAATCAAAAAAAAATATTTTTTATTTTATTAATTTTTTTATGCTGTTAATCCTTGCGTAAAAAAACACCTATAAATTATTTATTTAATAATTAACAATTAAAAATGCGAAGCATCCAGACTTGAAACAAATCAAAATTTTTCCTTTTATTGGACAGCCATTTACCATTATTCAAACAAAAGGTACATTGTAGATCATAGAAAAAAATAGATTTATTTAAAACAGCAAAATTCTTTATAATCTTCTATAATTTATAATATACTTTCAACTTATTCTCCGTTTTATTATAATGGTGTATAAAAAAAATAAATCAATTTATTTTTCCTTTAATTATAATGATGTGTGTACAAAATATAAAAAAAAGAATCTAAAATTTTTTTTTATGATGCCTGCCATCCACTTTTCATTTTCACTACAATTGAAAAGATTTCTTATCAAGACTACAAATTAATCTCAGAATTATTGTAAAATCAATTAATTTAATCCCAAATTTTTTTATACAAAGTACATCTAGCATAAATTTCGAATATACATATCCATTTATTTATACATACTAATATTTACATGTTTATCATTAATCTCGTCTTTTAATATGATCATCATGACGAATTGCAATTGTTCCATCTATGCGATTCAATTTATAACCCATATTTTCCAGTATATAACTCCTTTCCCATTTTTTCTTTTTATTATCAAATAAACGAGCCAATATAATTTGTCCCACCGGAAACTTTATATATATTCTTTCACATGGTAATATAATAGCACTGTCTTTTGGTTTTAAAAAAATCTAAGGGCACTCTGGTCCTTTGACCCAAAAACAATTCAACAGGAGTAACATCTTCCCGATTTTTGGAGTTATTATAATATAACTGGGCTATCCAAATCTCATTTTTTTTCTTATTTGGCTTTTTTATACAATTTTTTACTATGACTACCATTCTCTCAGTTTGGCCATTAGAGCTAGGAGGATATGGTGGTGCCAACATATGTTTTGTAAAGAAGTACAAAAATGTCTAAATTTTTACTGATAAACGCCGGACCTCTATCAGATATAATTGTTTTTGGAGTTCCAAATTTAGCCCACAATTTTTACTCGTTAACCAATAAACTTCTTCATATTCAATTCACTAGAATATAAATCCACAATTAAAAAATATGTTTTTTTATTCAAATCGGAAAAATTAACGTGGACCCGTTCCCACGCATGACTTGACCTTGACCACACACTTCCCCATCTCATTACGGGTATAGAGGCACAGGTAAAAATATTTATTTTTAATTTTCTCAATTCATACCAGGCTTCTAAATATATTCCCGCGCCCACGATTTTATTTTATCCCGGCCCTGATAACCGTCATGCAATAAACATAAAATCTTATCGCTTAATTTCAATCGCATTATACAATCGTCCACAATAGAAAATTCTTTTTGTATTTTTTTATACAAATAATGTTTGTTTTTACAATTTTTTACACCACTTAAATCTGTACTTCAATGTATTTAATAATATCCTCTTAAGTGGTAGGATTTCTCTTTAACTATGATAATGTGTACGAATTTAAGCATCTTCATTATCTATAATTTTATTATCAATTACCTCGAGACGCTGCCCGATCCTAATCTGGATAAAATATTCGGTAAGTGAATTTCTTTACCTCGCCTATATTTAATTTCCACATTGAAACTTTCTACGAGCAACAAACAACGTTGTAATCTCGGGGACATCATTAATTCTTTGTTATCTTTTTTAAACAAATGAATCAATGGTTTATGATCAGTATTTTTTTGCCAATTAAATATTCACGACACTTGGTTAAACCAAAAATAAGTGCCAAGGCTTCCTGTTCAATAACAGAATATCGAGTTTCTACCTCATGGAAAATCTCAAAAAAAATCTCTCTAACCCATCAATTAAATGCAATAATGCACCTCCAACACCTTTATAAGATGCATCTACAGCCAAGTTAATTTCTAAATCATTATTAAAACACACTAAAATCAGCTCCTCGCCAATTTTTTTCTTCAAAATTTTAAAATCACTTTGTTGTTCAATTTTCCACTCAAAATAAACACCTTTATTTAACTAATTATACATTTAAGCATTAATTTAAAAAAAATAATAATGTTATAACTATTAACACTAGAATAAAGTTTTTCGAGTTTAAAAACAAATTATATACAATTTTTTAATAATCTATTTGCTCATAATTTAAATAAATTATTAAGCATTAAAAAAAATATATACATATATTTTCTAAAAAATTGATAAAAAATTACTGATAAAAAATTACTGATAAACATTGCCTTTGAACTCTGTTTATTAATATTTTCACTTAGATTATAATAAACTTAATTTCTGCATAGGGCGCTTGACCAGAATTTTTATTTATCGTTCGTTAAATGATCCTTTTTAAGCTTATTTAGATCAATTATACGTGTACTCATTTTCCTCAATACTGATCATTGCCAATGGTGAGATTCACTCTTTTAAGATTATATCTCATCCACACAACGTTTATCTATTCTAGACCTTTTAATCCTCCATTATGGTGATATATTTATAATTTCTTTCCACCCCACAAACTCTTTTTCCTATTTCTTCTAACACTAGAATCAATTCTATCACCAATCACTTCTCCGCCTTTTCTCTTTTTAAGAGATACCCCATTCATTTGTCTAATATCACCATTAGTTTAAATCAGGGCTGTAAACCCTGTTAGGATTTTAGTTTAGTGAAATATCTATTAACCAGGTTCAGAATTTGTAGTCTAGAAAAATAAAAACATATAAAACAAATTTTATTTATTTTACTATATTTACCTTGACCATAAAAAT